TTAAACCTAACGGCCACACCTTCTACCGTAATGTGCTAGATTTTCTTTCATACCATTAGAATGCAACTGACTAAATTGAAAATTACTCATACGACATGTGGTACACACATTCCGGGTACTTTGGCTGCGACATCGGTTTATCTGCACTGCATTTGTCACTTTTCAATGTTAGAAACGCCAGCTGATGTGCCATAAAAGCGCAACTATGGCTATAATGACAAAAGCAACAGCAACAACAGAACTACAACTGCAACCAAAAGGGCCGGGCCCATTATCAACTCCAACACAAACATAATCGCCAATGCCATCAACAGCATCTATACATACATACATATTGCTGCCGATAGAATGTTGGTTGTTATCTCGTTGACATGAACACGATGCACTAACAAGGTTCGCAATCCACATCCATACATAAGTCTTCGGTTGATTGCCAGCAACCAGCAGTCCATCAACTCAATGCAGATATGAACACTTTTCCGGTCAGTCAGACGCATTTCCGTTTCGCATTGTAACCGCAATCGGTGCATTGCTGGCATCAGCACATATTGTTCGTATTTTTGCTTTTTGTTATTGTTGTTTTCGTAGGCAGCAGATGCTGTGGAAGCAAATTTTAATGTCACTTTAATATGAAACGGAAATAGCATGAAGTTGTTCTACCCACACAAACCGTAGTGGATAAGGGATTGTGGCGAAAGCGAGCCCCTGCGTGGAAACAGCCAGCAGCGTGATGCATGCACATACATACATACAATCAGTGTGGGCGAAGAAGAGTTTGGATGTATGTTGGTGCAAAAAAGCATATATGTAAGTAAGTACACAATGTTCGTTTGATTACGTGACCATCATTTCAACACAATCGGCTGTCAGTCGAAGACACACCTCCATGCATATATTCGAATGCTGGCTGGCGGCATTTATGTACCCCTGCGCCTTATTTTCTAGCTCCTTTCTGCACCATCCTCATCCATACGCTTGAGTCGATTTGTATTGTGCGGCAATATCCGGCGCATCGGCGCTCATCAATTCATTTCACGGAAATGCAGCAGACCATCATCAATGCAGCTGGTTGGTTGTTTGCCGTTTTGTCGCTATGCCGCTAGTGCCGCTGTTTGTTGCCAGGAAGCGAAAGTTTATTGTTTGCACCCCACATATTTTCATGTTTACTGTCCAGTGTTTGCAATTTGCTCTCGCCGGTTTTCAATTTCCAATAAAATAGACCGACTCCACATTTTTTTTTAATGGTTTTTTCTTATTCGTTTTAGCTTTTGGCTGGGAGCGGAGCTGCCTCATGCTTGTTTAACTTGTTTTTTTTTTTTTATAAAACAAACTGTCTTCTCAGCAAAAATCATAAAAGCAAGGTTTTTCGGTATTTTGCGGAATTGAATTTACCATTTAGTAAAAGTCTTTTTCCAACCGTCTCCTTTTTCCTTGTAACATAAATAACAGACAATTCGTTTTTGTCTGCTTTTGTTCGTATCTGTTAAGTATTTTTTTTTGCGTTGGCCACGTCTCATCATTTCCCTGGCACTGAAAATATTTAATCTCTTTCACGTCATTTCGCTTAAAATAACACCCCTGCAAGCCAAAGTTCCCGAAATCTTAAGGAAATCGTTAGGAGTATCTGATTTCTATAACGATTTTTTTCCGAATTTTCAAAGAAAATTATATGAAGCGGTTGACACGAACTCGTAAAGAAATTTCTGTACGAAAAATTAGGAAAATTCTGGAAAAATTCTGAAAGATAGCAGCATTATTTTCGTTGCTTCACAGATTTTCTTCCGAAATGTCGTAAAAGAATGGAAGTGTGCGTAATTTATTTAATTTTAGAATATTCGGCAAAAAATCGAATTAATTCTTGTCAATGTTATTGTGGCTTGTTAACATTTTATTTTTAATATTTTTATTGAGCTTTGTACCACGATTGTTTATTAGGAAAAATTGAAAAAGCAACAAAGTCTAAGCGGTAGAAGTTATAGCACTATTTCGGAGATCACCACATCTCCTCATCAGACTTCTTTTTCTAGACTTCAGCAGGGATCGAACCTGCGAATTCGATGTTCAAAGTCAGAAGCGTTAACCACTGAGCTATGTACATCCCGTAAACTCTTGTTGCTAATTCATTTTCCTTATTCTTAACGAATTCTTTAAAATTTCTTTACAATGCAGAATACTCTGAAAAAATGGTTTGCAGGGACATGATCTTTTTCTTTTATAACGAAAATGTATTTTACTTTGAGAATCTTCACTCTCTTTAATTTTTTGTTTCATACATCCAGAGTTGAGCATTATTAAAATAAATCGATATTTAGATATATAATTCTTCGAATGAAATTGTACCTGCAATATAATTATTCGCAATTAGTTTTAGCGAATTATCGTGGTGGAAGCTTGATCGATATTTATCCAATTTTAAATCCGCGCACTGCCGAAAGGCATAAAGCATATGAGTAAATAAAATTCCATAAATTTTCTGTTGCAAGTAATTTTTTATGGGAAAATTCTACGAATCAGATGTTGATAAACATAGTTTACCCGAGTAACAAAAGAAAGCTGAAAAGGACGTCCACAGTTGATGAAATTACTGAGTACCAACTAGCAGTTTACCAAGTACGTACTAGCAGGTGTGAAGACTCTTAATATTTTTATCCGGTGCGGGGAAATTAATTGAACAATTTACCTCTATTTTGAATGCAAAATTTTTTTGACTGAGCAGCTGATTTAAATAAGAGGGGAAATCAATTTAATCGGGAAATCTATGTATATAAAAATCAAATGTATTTCGCATGACCACAATGCCTGACCAAACGAATGTAAATCGCATTGAGTAATTGTTATTTTCTTTTTAATTTTTGGGAAAGGGTAAAATTTTTTGTGAAAATTTTGAAAAATTTTTGAAGTTTTTAATTTAAATTTGTATAAGTTTCGTTATAGATTGTCCTACCTACATACATACCTATATACATAAAATGGTAGCTATTTTTGTTCTTCGGACTAAACTCAAAAAGCACTGGATAGAGTTCAGTCAAATTATCGGAAGTTATACCTTTCACATATGGTCCTATTACCTATGGACTAACCACTATAAAACTCGCTTGATAGCTCTGAATTTGAGTCATTTACAACTATATTTATTTATTCGCCAATTTCGTTCAAATTCGCAATGTGAGCCACCGGTATGATGAACTCGTTTGCGGAAAATTGACCTACTGTATGGTCGAGATATTTATAAAATTCTATTTTTTAAACAACCTGGCTGAAATTCACAATGCGTATTTATTTCATGATGAGCAATCGTTTTGAAGAAAAGTGACCCAAGAATGGCGCTGCAGCCGTAACACATAGAAACCCCATGTGTTTGATATACGAATTTAGTTTTCGGATGGCTAAATGAAATTGTGTAAGCGCACCTTTGTATGACGCCCTCATACACCCTTAATGCGATCTTGCATTTACCTGCGATTAACGAAATTGATCGGAGCGGCCGTTATTGCAGCAGTAAGACTCAAAGAATCCAGTTCATAAATATTAAGACGAATTGTAAAAGTGGTGAATGGACAAGGAAAGATTCGACCACATCCGTCCAAGAAGGAACACGGTAGGCTTCATTTAAACGATATTCAAGATATCACATCACTCATTTAGCCGATGTACGGGAAAACTCTTCGCCCTGTTGGGAAGCGAGGATTCTTGGCCCTATTATAACAGAAAACTCTCACCTGTGATCTTAGGTTTCCTTATAAGGACTTTTATTAGCTTACGCATCGTACCTATGTTGTAGTTGCAAGAGCAAAGAAGATTATGCACGCTTGGTAGAGATTTCACAGGTGGAAATAAGATGATCGGCAAAGCCTATGTATGAGGAGGATTCTGCTCTTTGGTCGTTCAAATTTTTTCACTTTACATACCGTAGTACCGAGTAGGTCAACTAATCTGCTTGCTATTGGATGTATTAGAAATGGCATCAAATATTCCTCCTGCCAAATGGTGTTTTAAAGCAAATTAACATCATCAACTCAAATCTGCTGCACATCAAACGGGTTTATCCTTGGTGGGTCACTTGGGTCTAGCGAAAACTGTTGTTGGTTTTTATGCCTTTCATTAACATGAATTGGTAGTATACCTTTGGTCTGATATTTGTAAGTAGCAGAAGAAGAGATGGACCTATTTACTTATCGACCATACAAGGCCTACTGTGAAAATCATTTACACCGGTGCTTCCATATACCATATTATCTTCCATACCACTAATTGTTCAGATATAAGTTTTTCAATATAAACCTGTCGACTGTCCCTACTTGTCTTATATTAAGGCTGTTCAGGATCTTGTGCATATGGTCGGAGATTGATATTAGCCGTATTTATAACTTCGGCGTTGGCTAGCGCCTTTTTATCAATTGGATTGGTTAGTGGTTACCATACTTTTACTTTTATAAATGTCTTATAAGTATCCCCATGGCAACCCAACCTTATTAAGAGTGCTGGCGCAATTGTCGAAACTCACAAAGTCGTGTTAGTTTTGAACCAGAATTTTGTTATTTTTAATGATTTCCATGCATTGGTTGTATGTACATAACTTACAAAACGTACTTGCCTAGAAACAGTTTTTTCTGTTATCTGATAAATTTAAAAATTTGAGTTAATGCACTTTTCACTCACGAACTCGTGCGATATGCATACAGATGTTTATATTACCAACCGGCAGCTGGTGTTCGTGGTTCAATGGCTCGTTGCTTCGCTCTCTTAGCTTCCACTCTCAAGTTGAATTTAATATTTTGTTTCTGTAGCCGGCAAGACCGGTATTCGGTGTACTTGGACGCATAACATCCAGCGCTTTTCTACACATACAGATATCTTTAAATTTAAGGCATGCAAGGAGAGAAGTAGGTTACACGACACATATGTACGTAAGTTTGCTCAATTGCGAAACTTTACAATTGGCGTATTTGCTCTGCACTCTTTGCATTCCAGTTTTGCCACTTAACAACCATCGGTACTCACAAATTTTCATTATTTTATATGTGCTCTTGATAACAGCTTATGACTTTTGCTGAATGCTATTTAGTCTGCACATAAACGCCGTTGCGAATGAGTTCAACTTAGCAAAGTGAAAGAATAAAAACAACATCAACACCTATCGCCAAATGTCAAGTAAGTACACCTATCCTATTTAGTAATATTTATGTATAATAAGCACTTATGTACATATGTATGTAGGAGCATCCAGCACACTTACCTACAGTGTTGCCATCGGTGTGGGTGTAACACTCGCATCTGGCCTGGGTTACTACTGGTATTACCTGCAATGGAAGAAACGCAACGCAGTGCCTGAAAAATGGCGTCGTATTGGCACTTTGGACCAAATCAATTTATACCCCATTAAGTCGTGTGCACCGTTAACACTAGATGCCAGCGCAGCGTTTGCGTGCGATATGCTCGGCTTGATGCTTAATGGCTGCCGCGATCGCGCACTAATGGTGATCAACGATTCAAATGAAATGATCACCGCGCGCGTTTATCCACGCATGGTATTGATTGCTACAAAGTTGGTTGGATTACAGCGATTGCAATTGAGCGCACCTGGCATGGAGCCGATCGAGTTGGATTTGGGCGCTTTGAAGGCAGAGGGTGAGCAAATAAAAACCATGGTTTGGAGCACCACCGTATACGTGCGACCAGTCGGAGCTAAATATGACAAATGGTTATCCAATTATCTACTGAATAAGGGTAGTGGTATGCGACTGGCCCACTATCCATTGGAGAAACCCGTGAAGGCGATCAATTCACGCATGTTGCGTCAGCCATTCATTTTAAAGGAGGATCGTGTGAGTTGAAAACCCTCAATTTTTATTATTTAATAATTATTTTTGGTTTTATTTTTTTTGTGACATGTTTACTCCCAAAGGGAACTTTTAATGACGCCACCAGCTACATGCTTATGAATTTGGCCTCGATTAAAGAACTAAACACACGCATACCCCGTTCGGTAGATCCATTGCAGTTTCGTGGAAGCTTCCACCTGAAAATGGACACCGACGAGCCATATGCCGAAGATCACTGGCAGTGGGTGAAGATTGGCGACGAGGTGATTTTCCGTGTAGTGGCACCCTGCACTCGCTGTATATTCCCGAATATAAATGTGGTGACAGCAGAGCGGGACCCCGATGGCGAACCGTTAAATACATTGAAGAAGTGAGTTGAAAATATACTCACAAAATGCATTAGATATATGTACGTAAACATTTCTTTGTACATCTATTTAGGTATCGCTTGTTTGAAGGTTATAAATCGCCGGCACTTGGTATTCATCTGGGTTTACGCTTTGCAGGCACCATCAAGACGAACGCAGTTGTGTATGTAGAGGATAAGTCGTAAAATAAAGAAGAAGAGTTATCTTAAATCATTTTTAATCATTCTTATATCATTGCATACGAAATTAGTTACTTACTTATTTGAATCAGCGTTTAATCATTATTTTACGATTTTTATTTTTTCGCTCAAAAAGAATAATTATTGTTTGGTCATATTTTTTCGCTCAGCGATATAATAACGATTATTTATAAATCTTAAAAGGCGATACCGACGCAACCAACTGAAACTTTATAAAACTTAAATATTAAATATTTTATTTTATTCTTTATTGGCTAATCTCGAAACATATAAATCTTTAAAAATTATAAAAGAATGTATAAAGAAAAATATCTGGTTGCGATCGACAGTTTTTTTTTGCGGTAAACAGAACATGTTGATTTTGTTAATTAAAATTGAAAAATAGTGACTATTTTGCGGTCCTGGTACATATCAAGCATTGTTTTACTTGGCTGAGTTCAACATAGAACCGCAGACGCGTTACATCTTCCTGCTAACTGGTGCCAATAAAAACATCACGTGAAGCCAACAGCCTCATCATGTATCTCGAAACGAGCGTTCGTCTTGTCTACCACACGAATCGTTCGTCACTTGGTACTTTGTAATTCGTTTTCGTCTGGCAACACGAAAACAGCTGATCGTTACGTTGCTTTCGTCTAGTTTGGAATTTTAAAAACAAACGAAAGGTTATAAGCAGGGATAGGATTTTAAGGCATTTGCCTATTTTGTCTGCTTCG